CTGATGTCTCTTCACTGGTTGCCTAGTGAAGCTCGCATTGGCTATAAGATCCTTACACTTGCTTATCAGTCCATTCATGGTATTACACCTGTGTATCTTCAAGAACTCCTCTCTCCTTACATGCCAACAAGAACTCTGCGTTCATCCTGATCTAATCTGCTCTGTGCACCAAAGTGGAACCTCAAATCATTTGGCTACAAGTCTTACGAGAACATAGCATCGATCAGTTGGAATTCTCTCCCTGATGACCTTAAGCTGTCTCCAACCCTTGAAAACTTTAAGAGTCACCTCAAAACCTTTCTCTACAAAAAGTTCTATGGACTTCAATAATGCCTTATTGATTGTTAGCGCTATGAGCATACCTGGTGTGGAGTTTGGCGCTATATAAATGGACACATTATTATTATTCAGAAAACAGTCCTCACAATCCGCCAATCTGATAGTTGCTAGATGATTCGACATGTTACTGACAAGAGATGCGTCCGTACAATCGTTCCATGTGAATTTGAGGAAATTCGGTGCAATAATCATGTCTTTCTGAGTTGGTTTCTTATATTCCTTGCATTCTTTGGCAATCCCCGGACAACGGCCGTTTAACATAAGAATGTTGAACAAAGCGCATAAATCGGTTCATTCCTTTCCGAATTGATTATACACATCGTCCTGCGTGGCATATTGAAGGTGTCTGAAAGGTAGTCCATATCTTCAAGACTGGGTATGTGTCTATTATCATCATCTATCGTATAATCAAGTAAAGCACCATATCTTCAAGACTGGGTATGTTTCTATTATCATCATATATCGTATAATCAAGTAAAGCACCATAACTTCAAGACTGGGTATGTGTCTATTATCATCATCTATCATATAATCACGCAAAGTACCTGCTCCTGCATTGTAATCACCAAATGCAACAATTTCCCAACGGGGTAAATCATACATAACAGACAAAGATTTGGGTCCCTCCGACACACCCTTACGCCACGTAGAGGATGAATGCCTGATAGCACTTCTGTTGTATAATCAAGTAAAGCACCATATCTTCAAGACTGTGTATGTGTCTATTATCATCATCTATCGTATAATCAAGTAAAGCACCATATCTCCAAGACTGGGTATGTTTCTATTATCATCATCTATCGTATAATCAAGTAAAGCACCATAACTTCAAGACTGGATATGTGTCTATTATCATCATCTATCATATAATCAAGTAAAGCACCATATCTTCAAGACTGGGTATGTGTCTATTATCATCATCTATCGTATAATCAAGTAAAGCACCATAACTTCAAGACTGGGTATGTGTCTATTATCATCATCTATCGTATAATTAAATAAAGCACCATATCTTCAAGACTGGGTATGTGTCTATTATCATCATCTATCGTATAATCAAGTAAAGCACCATATCTTCAAGACTGGGTATGTTTCTATTATCATCATCTATCGTATAATCAAGTAAAGCACCATATCTTCAAGACTGGGTATGTTTCTATTATCATCATCTATCGTATAATCAAGTAAAGCACCATAACTTCAAGACTGGGTATGTTTCTATTATCATCATCTATCATATAATCACGCAAAGTACCTGCTCCTGCATTGTAATCACCAAATGCAACAATTTCCCAACGGGGTAAATCATACATAACAGACAAAGATTTGGGACCCTCCGACACATCCTTACGCCACGTAGAGGACGAATGCCTGATAGCACTTCTGTTCATAAAATTGGTTACGTTCCTAAGCTATCGTTCTTTACGATCGCTTTGTCTACTGCTGATGTACATTTCTGTGTAGCGTTTATCTATAAATATAGAAAGAACTTAGTTTATAACCTTGGGAAAGAAGCAATCTGCAATGATCTCAGACAAATGACCGGACGGCCTAGTGCCAGATTGCTGTGACCAGTCAACTAAGAGAGATTTTCTGTCAGATATTTTATTGTTTATTTTTTTACTCGTAACGTCCAGTGTATTTTAATGGGGAGAAGAATGTATAATTTTGAAACAGAGATGCATCAGGTCCATCAGTATTTTAATATTGCCAGTTTGTGTCACATTGTAAAGACAACTGTATCGGAACTAATAAAATCTTAACCATTTACAACCCGACATTAGAATTAAACATATTTCTACTGTAGAGAAATTCAGAGACCAACAGAGACTTTTCAAGCAGCCTTGGAAAAGTAAGACAGGTGTTATAAAAAATGTACTGTGACAATATAAGTGTAGTCTTATAAAAGATGGAATAGTGATCAGTGATAGCTGTGTACAGGTGCGCCGTTTTGTCCATGCCTGAATCATCTGATTCGAATCTCAGATTGACAACGATTATGACCCATGGTCTGTTACCATCTTTCCCATGTCATTGGGTTTCACCGGAGTGACTAACGTCCACAGATTACTTCCCTTTCTGATTTCCTCCCACGCTGAGATGACACGCCGTGGAACAACCAATAGACTGTTTAAAGCGGTGCTCAAACCAGCTCACTCATATGTGTTACTCACCGCTTTTCGCAGCTCCTGTAAAATAATTGAAACGTGTTCAAATAACATCGACATAGTAATTGCTGAAACGCGTTAAACCTGTGGTTTCTGAGAGTTAAGGCTACAGGTTATTTTGCCTGTAAACACTGCGATATGTATTGCACAAAATATTGCCTGTTATATTTAATCAATCAATCATTTCAGAAAGGCCAGCGTAAGCCCTACGACGTCTTCTGACCGAACATGTCCCACGCCGTGATATTGCTGGAATATTGCTATAAGCGGCGTAAGACTAAAGCATCTCTCTCTCAGTCTGACCCACGAGGCGGTACTCACTTGAATTCAGTGGGGTTTCCTCACCATCAAGACCGGTCACCTGTAAATGCACCTGTATACAGTGATACCTCATTACTCAAACTGCTGTGGACTACAGTCAAGTTGTATTCAGTACAATTACTAACATTAGACCAGTGAGCCAATATTGATTTTCACCCGACTCATGACTTAAAACTGTTTGAAGGGACGTAACTCTTAGTTTCTATCGGATATGTATCGCGACACACGTTCTTTCGGACGGATGAGGTGGTGTTGTTAGAGTGGAGTGAGTTATGATTTACGCAGCTTTTAGCAATATTCCAGCAATATCAAGGCGGGGACACCAGAAATGGGTTGTACTCATGCGAGAATTACATCCGGGTAGGTTACCCAACCGCCCTGAGGGGTTCTAAGACCAGTGTTACATACAACAATAGTGACTTTGCAGAGTCCATAGTAATAGTTATATTATTTATTCGTGGTTTGTTTCAAACAAGGCGTTGATATAAGACGTATTACCGATGTTGAGTCTCCCGCTTCTGTCCATTATGTTTTCTTAAAGCGCCGTTAGCCTAGTAGAGCGACGTCATAAAGTAAACCGCAGTTCGCGATGAGCCGGAATTGCTTTTGCAAGTCAAGTCAAAAGCAAATACTTTACTGTACGTTTGTTACCATATGTGCTATTCAACTATTCCAATGTTATCCAATTAAAAGAACTTTGTTGTTTAACCATTAAGAGAATTTGGATGGGAGGACATACTGAATATACACCTAGAAAGTATTGTTTTTACTTGACCTATGACGTCTTTATTGAACCTCTCAACAGTTTTTAATTATAATATCACATGACTTCGCTTTCCTGAAATCCCACATGAGGAGGTTCTAGGGATTACAATTGTATTGTGTACCCTGATGCCGGGACTTCAACTGCATTGTAGGGGCGGTGGGGTAGCCTAATGGTTAAAGCGTCAGCTCGACATGCTGAAGACCGAGGTTCGATTCCCCACATGGGTGCAATGTGTGAAGCCCATTTCTGGTGTCCCCGCCGTGATATTGCTGGAATATTGCTAAAAGCGGTGTAAAGCCATACTCACTCACTCAATCATGGCGCACTGCATTGTGAACGCTCGAAGAGGGTTTGCAAAATTAATAAACCCTCAATGACAACTAAGCCGCAGCGATTTAAAAGAAAGAAAGAAAACAACCATTCAGAGAATTTTTATTGCCATTGTTTCAATTAAAATTGAAGGTGAGAGTGGAATTGACCGTCCGGCACTTTCACAATCATTTTCAATTCGAGCTGACTGTTTTACGTGTTGGTTGTCTTGATTCTTCTCAGGTGTTTTATTCTGACATCTCTCCTCCACTGTCCTGGATTGAGCACAAAGAGGATCGTTCACAACCGCTCTCTGATCGTCAATTGTAAATGTACACTGATTTTTTATATGGAAATAGCAAATAACCTGTATGTTCGCATATGGTCTGCTCATCAACATTGCTTTGGTACAAAATGTGTGGCGGTTGCTTTTCCCGCTGATACCGGCTGCTGTACAGATGCGCTTCAAGGTATCTTTGAGCTGTTACGACCATCGAGGAGTCCCGTGAAACCATTCTTTTCCTTTGGGTTGTTCAGTAGAGTTCCTTCCCATCTAGGCTTTGAAGCTGAAAACAAACGTGTGGCAATATATAATAACATTTCAGGTCCTGGAATGGTCCCAAAACGTCGTGAGGGAAATAAATAAAGTTTAATCCATAAAATATCTTGGACATCTATGTACAACTTCTAAATGCCACTGAGAGACATTATAATAGCATACTTGCTCAACAAATGTAATTGCAAAATCTGTTCTTATCAAAACGTTACAAAATGACAAAAGGCTACTGGAAACTCACCACAAAGATTTCTACATTTCTCTTGCATACAACAAATCTAATAAAGGAGATGGAGTGGAACATGTGGATCGGGTGAGTCATATACTAGAAATTACTGGTAATTACGATGCTAAGAATCAGAAAAGGGACACGTAATGATTCGATTAAGCATCTTCAATGGCAGTCTGCCAGTCTGAAGTTTTATTCGGTTGGATGCTTCTACAAATGACTTAAGCTCACTAACGAAGTAGATTTATGGTTGTATCCGTGACCCCTACATCCAATTACCCTACAATTGGCTAAAACAGCACACGGCATTTTACCTGTCTGGCGCATAATGAACTTACCCCATGGGAACGATTAAAAGTGTTATGTGTATACAAATTAGAGAAGGTTAAAAGGTGTTCTTGGTTAGAAAGTTTGTTAAAGATGAAATGAGGTAAATGTTGGAAATTGACACTGAGATGAGACAAGTAATTTGAGATGACTTAGTATAGTAAGGAGTGTTGTGTATACAAATTAAAAAGGATTAAGGGTTCTTGGTTAGAGAAGTTTGTTGATAAGATGAGAGCAAGTAAATGTTGAAATTGACACAGAGATGAGACAAGTAATTTGAGATGACTTAGTATAGTATATAAATGTTGGAAACAAACTAACATGACATCAACATGGCTGGTCTTCGCAATGTTGAGTTTGTTATGTCACCCGGAGTAGTAGCAAGTCCTATTTGAGGGTTATCTACACACTAAGAATGTCGAGAAACCAGTCTTGTGTACACTGGAACCATAACCTATCCCTTATCTTCACCTTACTCCCCGACCGTCAGGCTGAGACCTACTCCCAGACTCCAGACTTTGAGCTGGCGGCAATTCATGCTATAGAGAGATTTTCGACTGCTGAAGTGAAGGGTTGCTTCTTCCACGACTGTCCAGGCCATTTTGGAAGAAGGTCAGGATCTGGGACTTGCTGTTGCTTACAGAGGATCTGGAAATATCAGATGGGTAGAAAGAGCAGTTGGACTACCCCTTTTACCCCAGAACAGTATCCAGGACCCATTGGGTTGACGCCATGGACGGCAACTCCCGATAGACTTTGGAGCAGCACAGAGAAGCAGAAAGAAGTGTACACAGAGAGATGGAGCATCAGGTTGTGTCGCTTCAAGGAGCAGCTCAATCTTGGGCTGAAGAAAACACCAATGCAGTTCCTTGACGCTGTGGGCCATCTCCTCAAATTGGGATAGAGACTTGTTTTAAAGACTAAAATTAACATTAAAAAGTTAACATGACCTGCTGCTCATATTCGTATCACGACCAGGAAGATATCTGTGTATTATATTCATTTATTTGTGAAAATTAAATCCATGAATTAAAATATTAAATCGTGAATTTCATGTCTTTGGAGCTAGTCCATGGTCCAGGTAACAGGTAACAGGAAGAGATTAGCAGTGCATTGGACCGTGAACTTTGTTGTTTATAAGCTGTAGGGTAATGGGATGTAGAGAGGTAATGGGAGGATACCAAATTTATAATGGATGAATTTGATGGTACCCATTAAGTCTTGGAAGAGAGGAAATAATAGTAATCAGTGGTGCAGCTGGAATATGAGTCATTTTATATATGCCCGTGGGACATTATTTCAGGGGGAGGAGCAAAATTAACAGGAATTGTATTTTGTCCTTGTCTGGTAAAAGTGGTGCGAGATTCTGGAGCCTCACCGTTGATTTAGAGAGTTCTCTCTGTATATTGAGAAAATGGCTCATATGAACTTATAGCATTAGGAGTTGTTCAAAAGAATCAACAAATCTTCCATAAAGTTTGTGAATCTGTGTTGTGTGTAGATCAGGAATACTAGGCAATATCGGGAGGACCTTTGTGTGAGAATTCATTCCAAAATAAATGGACTTAGAACAACATACCGGACTTATCTTTGACTATCCATCTTAGCTACATCATCCCCACAAAGAGTGGATAGACAGATTGCCTAGGAGAAGGGTATAGCACCCAGACACCCTCAGGTAACAGGAGCCCTGTGAAATATTAAATTGTTATATTTAAAGGTCAACTCTAATTTCGATAAAACCGATATCAAATGTTTTATTCGATGTCTTGATGAATTAACAAAGGGTTTGGGGTTTTGTCAATACCAATAATTAGCAAAATATGCCTGTGAACTAATTACTAAAACACTAACAAAATGGTAACACGAGTTGAGGTACAGCGGCTTAAAATACGGGTATACTCAGACTGATATTTTATTGAGTGTTTGAGAACTGTGAGATAAATCGTCAATTCAATAAAGTAAAGCTTGTATTTTCGTGTTAGGTATAAGTACCGTATCGAGAAGCTTCTGGGGAGTATCATCACCGACAATATTTAGGTCCCATAAGATATTTTCATCTTCGAAGGAAAACTTTCTGTTGGTTTTCAGTGTTGACCCCAGTCCCACAGCAGACTTCTCTTTCATAGCGGCGTCAAGGCATTACAGCGAGCGTCCTTGAATTTTAACAGATCTTCAAATAGTTAGGATGAACCATTCGTTTTCAGAACAGATGCAAATGCAGCGAACAATCTTAGTCACGTCAACAATTTATGTTTTGTGATCAGAATCAAACGCTTTAGTTTTGAAAGAAAAGATCCGAAAAGCGAAATTTACCAATTCAATCCCTTGTTTAAGCCTATTTTTTTGAATAATTGAATCACAAACTAAAGACAAAATACCATTTGACGTGTATGTATGTGCTTCACAAACCGACTTGTGATTCGCACTGAACGAGATTCAAACACGGGTGTATAGTTTGTCTGTCACACTCCAGCACTGATGTATCAAACAATCTTGAACGTCAATGCATGTCTATTAATGGGTTTCTAACATTGGGGGATCGACTCCCCGGTCTCCGTCGTGACGTGCCCATGCGTTTACCCGCTGGACTACAAGACCGACTCCAATCGCGGGGTGTATGGTCGTTAATCTCACCGTAGGTAAATTACGTTTCTACAAATAATGTGAAAAAAAAGAAACTATTAGTGTCAAAAAGCCATTGAAACACTGGTTGAGAAAACTTAACCATTTACATAAAGAGAATAATATTTTGATGATTTCAGAAAAATTGGGAGGATTTTAACAAACAAAGTTTAGAACACGTAAATGGTGTTGCACTCTGGTGCTGTTGATCGCAGTTCGTGTATACCCCCTCATGTATCGCGGACTTCGACATGCAGCAACATTTACTCTAAATATTGAGAACGTTTATGTGTCATTCTTTGGGCGTGCACGTATGCATTTACTACTTAAGACGTCCATAAATGTATACTTTTCAAAAAGAAACGCATAACCAAGAAATCTGTGGCGAAAATGTTGTATTTTTCAAACATGTATAACTCGTCTACAAATAGACTTTAGTATGCATGAATTTTTACATCAGTTTAGAAAGAAAGGTAATGTCTATACCCAACCAAGTGTATAATTTTAAATAACGGTTACGTTGCAGCGCGCGATATGGTGACCACGTAGCATGGTCCCGACGTCAGATCTCCTGGCTCTCAGTCAGTCTCTCTCAACCTGTTCCGTACAGTTTTACCGGATATCCTCGAAGTCAGAGCACCCTGGCTGCTGTGCTCTCACCCGTGGCAGTACGATCACGCAAATATAGTACGGGTGTACCGTTCTTGGGCTGCAGTGGTGAATCGAGATCTGCCTGTACGGGCACGGTCATTTGTTATACCTGTTTGGTTCTAGCGAGCTGCAAAACATTGATATCGATGCTCAGACTGGCATTCAGGCGGCTGGCAGCAGAAAATTGGTAATCTCCAGCGTGCATTGTTTCAATGGCGATGTTCCAAATTACAGCGTCAAGACGTGGCGTGGTGATTTGACCTTGAAACTCCTTCATAACGAATGCCGATTTCCGAAAGTAATCTGGATTTTTATAGCCAGACAGTGCTCTTTGCTGCACAATTTCAACTGGAAGGTGATTTCTGTTGCGTTGTTGGAGATGCCTTTTAATTCTTGTAAGAAATCTCATCAACATCAACATTTTCAGGCGAAGTCGATTTTCCCTTAATTACTAAATAGTTTAAAATCATTTCATCAACACTTTCGGTACATATTTTGACAATTGTTTGAACACAATTGGTAATTGATAGATTTTTGAAAATACAAAATGCCTATGCGTTTAATTTTTGGGATAATTATATGTTTCTCTGCATTGATTCAGGTTCTCTGCCAGTACTCGAGATTCAATATTTAGCTCTTTACACTGATTTTACGTGTGCTTTTAAAAGATAAAGAAGGGTCGGTGTATCTCTGAGTCATACACGCTCTCAGGTCTTAGCTTAGTTTCCAGTATTCAGATTAACAATTGAAATGTAGGACTATTTTTAAGGATAAAAAAATCAATGATTTGTTTCCTAACACTGATAATGTTTCGGTCATACATGGTGCCTACTATTATGTATACAGAGTAGAATTCTCCTTCATGAAGATGTGAGAGATCAGTGAGAAGCCATATATTCACAACCACTCATGCCCAAGAATACCAAGTAATCTCATCCTCTACAGCAAAATGGCAAGAATATGAATAGAACTTTTAAATGTCTGTAAAACTCTTTGTGGATTCTTGCCTTTAAAATCCTTTGTTTCTTTTGCATGAGCAAGTTTCTGCTTCTATTAAATTTACAACCATATATATGGGAGTGTCTGTATTGAAGGGATCGATTATTGAAGGTGTCAGGGGTGAACATGTCCTACGGCTACAGGTGTGATTGATAGCACCTGTGATTAACGGTACGGTATGCACCTCTGCCACAGGATCCTGGATGTTTTTAATAAGAACACACAAGTTCGATTTCTAGCATCGGTGAACTAAGTGTGTGCTTACGTTCTTGACCAACAACATATGGTGGGTGAGTTAGTATGTGGACCGCCGCGCTTTTAGCAATATTCCAGCAACATCAGGTCGGCGGACGCAGAAATGGGCTTCACACATTGTGCCCATATGAGAAATCGAACCCGGGCTCTCGGTGTGTGATGAGAGAACGTTTTAACCACAAGGACCGCCTCCGTGGTGTAGTGGTTAGAGCGTCGCCTGGGGAAGCGGAAAGTCGCGGGTTCGATCCCCGACCGCGTCATACCAAAAGACGTTAAAATATCGTACTTGTTGGTCCCTGTCTGGCGCTCGGCATTAATGGGTACAACAAAAGGACTGGTTGGCTCGGAGTCAGTAAAATGTGTCTGAGTGGGAATTATTCATGCTCACTGCGGTATGATATCTCAGTGGGCTAGCACTATAAAACCAGCTTCAGTCTGGGCTAGTACAAGCAGCCGCATGTATACACATACACACGCATGCGTCGTCATATGAGCGAAAATATTCTCGGGTACAACGTAAAAACCCAATTTCACCTCACCTCACTTTAACCCCTGCTAAGGGTACCCCACCGCCCCAACACCTTATAGATTTTAATAACCCAATCTTAATCATTCCTTCCAGACATAATACGACCAGCAAGATTCCAAAGTGCTACCAACGTGGAATTTATTGAACGTAACAGAGTTTATCTTCTGATCTGCACAATACATCTATCTGCCGCTAGATACCGTTCGGCTGGAACTTGACGCTTTGCTGCAAGTAAAAGTATAGCATACAAAGTTGCCAGGTAAGATATACGATATGTAGGACGGTGGAATAGCATAATTATCAGCATCACAGATTTTACATTACAGAATGGCGGAGGAGAGATTCGCTATACACAACCCCTAAACAGAACCATTTACAAAACATAGTTCCTAATTAGAATCGTATTACATAAAGTTAATTTTTTCCCTTCACTTTGGTTTCTTTGAAGAATGTATCTCCTAAAGGTTAATCGCTTTAATAATGAGGTAGGACCTACGACACGGTCCTGTCTTATCTAAGAATATCCCCACGAAAAAACCTAAACGTCATACACTACCAAAGTTTAAACTCCAAGTGATAGGGCTATTGGGAATGTGTAGGTTTGTGAAAGTAGATGGTAGTTCGAGACAAGCAGAATTAAAGGACTTATATAAACCAACATTCTTCCATGTCCGCGAGTTAGAGTTGTTCCTTCCTTCCAGTAGTATGAACCTACCAATTGTACATGTCTTGTCATCCAGATCCTTCTTGATTGTGTCTAGTGCCTTGTAGTCATCGACCGTGTACACCCTGTCCTGGTCGCCAGCAATGTCTAGAAGCTCCTTCTGTGAGAGGTTGAGGCCCACGCCGATAGCAAACATCATGTTGATACCAGCGTCTCTAGACTTAGCCGCTTCCATTCTGAGTCTTTTTCCCAGTCCTGTAAAGGGCTGCCCGTCGGTCATCACGATGCCGATGTGAGCTGCATGGAAGCGTTGTGTTTGGGCAGCATCTGTTTCTCTCGCATGAACTCAATGCCCGACCTGTGTCAGTGTGAAGTCGCCAGCGGTGTAGGGATGTTCGTGATGGCGTTCACGATGTCAACCTCGTCGGCATATTCGTCGAGGCCAAAAAGCGAAGTGTCATCATAGGTGCCGCGACCGTAGGTGATGACTGAGAATCTAGCTCGCTGGGGTGAAACGTCAAAGGTCGTGACGAAGCCCTTCACGAAGTCCATCCCAAGGGTGAAATTGTTGTCGCCAATGCCGACGAAGCGTCAATAACGAAGGAGATAATCAATGGGATTGTCACGGCACACTGTGGGAGGAAGACCGTAAAGAGTTAGTGAATGGGGCAGAACATACCAGTGTTCGATCATTAGTTACAGAACATTCTGATCAATAGCAAACTCCTTCATGAAAGTGTACGGTCTTGCGTAGCTGACTTTCTTGTTGCAAAGTAACAATGGGGTTGATCAACCATACTATCAGTAATTAGTTATTTCGAGTTTAACTTTCAACTTCTTGGTAAAGTTTTACAGCACCTGGATAAAGCTCAGAAATCACGCGTGCGTAAAAGCAGAGCACAATGTCGGAATAAGACATTTATTTTGCATTTTTGTCTGGCCTCCCCGCAAGCAGCTATACAAATCCACACATATACATCAATGTGACTCCCACTTACCAACAGGTGGCTCTGGTGGGTTTTTCTGCAACATAAAACAATACATCACCAATTGATACGCTACTCCTAGAGTTTGTCTCCAATGCCATATGCAAGTGGAGTCATACGCATATTCAAATATTAACTTGAAGTTGTAGTGTTTCACGGATCTTCTATGAAAAGGAGATATTTTAATCATGTTGAAGATAATGAGGTCGTCTCTGATGAATTTCACCGTTGCTAAAGACAGTGGTGCTCTGTGTGTTTGTGTATTGTGTGTGTGTGTGTGAGTAGGCGGGGGATTAGGGTGGGGGTGGTGGTGGGGGTCATTCCAGAGTTACCTCCCTTTAATATACTAGAGTTCGCTGGTCGAGGGTTAAAATCAAAGTCCATACTCATTGGGATTTATCATAGTTATAGATATGTATTACCTGCATCAAAGTTTGTCTCCCGTATCACGCTGATAATACTTTTCAAAAAGCGTAATACTAAACAAACACAAACACAAAATAAATCAACGTACCTTCGCATGTCTCAAAGGCGAGCCTGGACCTGATGGTCCCCAGGAGGTTGTAGCTAGTGACCACAAACACGTGGTTATCCACCCCGGCGATGTTCCTCAATTCCTCTTCCGACGAACACACTATGGCCGACCCCGACAACGAACATCTCGACCCCGGCGTCTCTGGTGATCGGGCCTCCGACTCCGTCACATCCGGTTGTTGGGAGTTTCCGTCGGTCAGCACTATACACACTTTCCTCACATCTTTGCGAGCATTAGGAGGAACGTTTCCCTCATGTGCCTGATGCCTGCCCCAGTCTCCAGTAGCCGGACCAGCTCTCTGTACGGTATGTCAGTGATCGCTTTCTTCAGGTCCACGTTGTTGGTGTATTCATCAAACCCAAAGGCGTCCTCTGTGTACACCCTGTCACCATAGGAGACGGCGGCGACTCGGACCATGTCAGGCTGGACTTGGAAAATGTCAACAAAATCTTCCACAAACCACAATCCCATGGTGAAGTTATCTGGCCATATGCTGGACGAGGCGTCGACGACGAAGGTGATATCCATCGGCTTCTGTGTCTGCATGCTGCATGTAACAGGCAGAAGATAATCGTTATTGCCGACATATACAGGCAGTATTCGGGAGTTTGGTACAAAAGCGACCTTAGCGCTAAGGTGATCTTAATTCCCATACCTTAACACAGACTTACGACAGTCGTGGCGCTGAGGTCGTCGCCACCCTGGGCATCAGTTCATATTTCCAAGATTTAAATACTCAACAGCACCTGCACACCCAGACTCACATGTCGTTATACTAAAGGTTTCACTCACTCACTCACTCTGTATGTTTATTCACAGATTTGATATTCATATTGGCATTGCGAAATGCAATGATCTCAGACAAATGACCGAACGACCCCAGTGGCAGATTGCTGCGACAAGTCAACTAAAGAAACGAATCCCAGATTGACAACGATTATGACCCTTGGTCTGTTACCATCTTTCCCATGTCAGTGGGTTTCACCGGAGTGACTAACGTCTACAGACTACTCCCCTTTGTGATTTCCTCCCACGCTGAGATGACACGCCGTGGAACAACAAATAGACTGTTTAAAAGCGGCGCTAAAACCAGCTCACTCATATGTGTTACTCACCGCTTTCGCAGCTCCTGTAAAAGAATTGAAACGTGTTCACATAAAATGTACATTAAAATAATTGCTGAAATGTTAAGCCTGTGGTTCTAAGGATTAAAGCTGAAGTTTAATTTGATTGTACACACTGTGATATGCATCGCACAAAATATTATTTAGTTGTTTTTTTTCAATCGATTATTTCCAGAAAGTGCAATGTAAGCCCAGCAACTTCTTATGACCGACGATTCCGACGTGATAATTTTGGAATATTGCTATAAGCGGCGTTAGACTAAACTCACTCACTCCTCACGCTGATTCCACACGGCGGTACTCACTTGAATTCCGCGGATGTTTCCACCTGCCATGACCCGGTCACCTGTAAACACACCTGTATACAGTAAAACCTCTTTACGTCAAACACTTGTCCTCATGTCAAAGTATTCCAGTCAAATGGTGTACTAATATTGATTATTACTCGAGTCGTATCTTAAAACTGTTTGAAGCGTCCTTAACTCATAGTTTCTATCAGACATAGTTTCAGTCGAATGGCGTGGTGTTTTTAGACCAGTGTACATAAGACTATAGCGACTTTGCAGGACCCATGGTATTAGTTATATTAAGTTTTCGTGGTTGGTGTCAAACAAGGCGTTGATAGACGGATTACCGATATTGAGTCGGCTGCTTCGTTTGGTGACGTCATAAAGTAAACCGCAATTCGCGGTAAGCGAGGTACTTCTCAAGTCAAGTCAAATAAATAGTTTACTGTATGTTTTGAGTGCACCATGTGTACTGTTTATTGAAAAAGGAGAGCTTCTTTCTGAAAGATAATTCATTATAAATGTTTTAGAAGCTGTAACATGAATGATCATTTTCATTTTCATTTTCACCAGTGATACAGAAAATTGAATTGCTGGTATCTAATCACTCATTATGCTGAAGGAATTAATTAAACAGCGTCCGAATTCATATAATGATATATTTAAAGATCACATTTCATTTCGTACCTCCATCCTAATCTTCAACTCACCCAGCACTTCCTGTTCCAATCACTGCCACATGCTCTGATGATGCGTGAAAAGGGTGGACCTTAAATCCATCCCCATCGACTCAAATGTAAGTTCTGTTTATGTTCAAGTTGTATTTTTCCTGTCTCCTTTAAATATATTTAACAGTAGATGTCCGCATTTAAATGAAATAATTATGCATTCTTAACATTTGATTTTGGAAAATCACATGTATCACAGGTGATACAATGGGACCAAGGCATATTCTGCTGTATCACCAGTGATACATTTCGGGACTTTGAGGAATATGTCACTCACTTACTGTTTTAACCCCGATGGTGATGTATAATGAGAAAATGTAATTATAATTATATTGGTTAGAGTATCAAAGAGTATGAAATACAGATACAATGCCTTGTTTCTTCAGAATGGAGAACACCCTAGATGAGGATTTGACTGAGAAATCAGAAGAATACTCTAGGATTCTGTCCGTCTGGAGGAGGCTGTTCAAGAACACCTTTGAAGGTTGAGTTTGGTGGGAAGAACTCCTCATCCTCCCAGAAGGGAGTGTCCAGTAACTGTGAAAGAAGCTCACTCTCGTCTTGAGGTTCCCTAAGCTGTTCTTTGAGTCTGGCAATAGGGATGTCATCATCAGAATCGTACAGTATTCTTCTGATCTGGGTGAGAGGAATGTCGTCATTATCTGACGAATCAAATGACCCAGTTGATGTTGCTGCTTTCTGCTTAGATGAAACTCTCGTTTTGGGAGTGGCATCGACCTCATCCTCACTCTCACCATCGGTGCTGGAATATATGCATCAGAGTAGGTTTCCTACTCACTCTCAGTCAAATCCTCATCTAGGATATCTAGGATGTTCTCCATTCTGAAGAAATAAGGCTAAAAAATTTTTTTCTCTCCTTAAGGAAGCAAGCATACTCTTTGCACTTGACACACACTTACTTGGTCCAAACGGATGTCAGCAGCTGTCCGTTTACGCTTCGCTGGGCGAACTTGTGGAAGGCTAAGGTCTGTAGTTCTTGGACTGCCACTAACTGGGTATCGAGTTTCCATGGCCCAGTAGGCTTCCACAGAGTAAGCGACAACAAGATCCATACGAAGATAAATCCCCAGAAACAACGCAATTTCTCTGGATGTTGTTCTTACTGAAATGCCATCTTTCTGTAATGTGTACAAATTTGTCTGTTCTGCAAGATTCTAGATCACTGCGTCCGTTATAAGATCCTTGAAATATGCTATAGGTAGAACTTGACTTGTTGTCGCTCACTCTCACATACGTTTGGACCAAGTAAGTATCTTCCTGAATTTGCAGAGAAACGTGGACGATGCAAATTCGGGACTGTACACACCTCACATATGTGATGTGTGTCAAGTACAAAGAGAATGCTTGCTTCCCTAAGGAGAGAACCTGTTTTGGCCAGTTTCACCTGTGCAAATAGACTTCCAGTTCTTCCTAGGCACTGTTTTGTCTCATTTGTGAGTGAGTGAGTGAGTGAGTTTAGTTTTACGCCGCACTCAGCAATATCCCAGCTATATGGCGGCGGTCTGTAAATAATCAAGTCTGGACCAGACAATCCAGTGATCAACAGCATGATCATCGATCTGCGCAATTGGGAACCGATGACATGTGTCAACCAAGTCAGCGAGCCTGACCACCCGATCCCGTTAGTCGCCTTTTACGACAAGCATAGTCACCTTTTATGACAAGAATGGGTTGCTGAAGACCTATTCTACCCCGGATCTTCACGGGTCTGTCTCATTTGTAGAAGACTCCAATTGCCATTTCCGTCCCAACATCCTGGATGCTGCTGATTGATAATGTTCAAGTTGCACGTGTGCCAAAGTGTTTTCTCTTGTGTTTAATGAAATTGTTCGGAAGTTCTTCCTTCTATAGGCTGTTTTGTCTCATCCTTGAATAGATATCGACAGACAATTTTCTGTTCAGTTTCCGTCTATGCAATCCAAAGATACTCACATATATTGTTCACATTCAAATTGTGTCAAAGTTCTTGTTTGTTTTAAGATATTTTCATGATTAATAATAAACCCAGTTTACAAAAATGAGTTGTTTTCTGTCTCTTGAAGTATGTGTGATGTATTTTCTGCTTTGGCCCAAAGTGTATCACACGTGATACAGATCCTTCACAAATCACAAAGACCCAGCGTATCACATGTGATACAAATAAAATAGTATAAACAACTGTTTATGTGTATATGTGTGTCAGATTTCAAGTTCCATATTTTTTGGACATCTAAGAATTGGTTTGGGTCCTAAAGGGTTAAAAAGAATACAGCTGACTATATATACTTATAGCTACTAGTACCCTCGACCCTTGAAACCAGACTTATGAACTTATGCGTCATTCAAGGATGGGTTTCCTTATTATACGTCATTTACTTATGTTCCTAAAATAATTGGTTACGTTTTCTCACCTATCATTCTTTACGATTCAAGAATGACATTGTGAGCATGCGTTTTGTTTACCTCTGCTCCACATTTCTTTGTACAGTTCATCAATGAATATAGAAAAGAACTTTGTATACAAACCTTGGGCAGAAGAAACAATCTCAACTAGAACTTAAAAGCTGTGAAATGTAAACACACAAGGCTGGAGCTGTTGGAATACTGATTGACATAACGGGATAGTTGAGCGTTGGACAGTTGATGTGAAACCTCTTGCCATACCTTGTGGAGACGTTCTGGTTTCTTAGACACGTCCAAAAGTTGTATGTGTGATCGGAATCAAACGATTTAGTTTTAAAACAATCCGAAAAGCAATTTAATAATTTCTTTACACCTATTTTTGAATAATTGAATACAAGCTAAAAAACAAATATCATTTGACGAGTATGCACTGCACAAGCCGACTTGTGATTCGGGTATCACTGAGCGCCTAAAACACGGGTGTATAGTTTGTCTGTCACACTCAACACTGATATGTCAAACAATCGTGAGCGTCAATCCATGTCTATTACTTGGTTTCTAATAGTGGGGAATGGAACCCCGGTCCCCGCCATGACGAGCCCATGTGTTTACCGCTTGACTAGAAGACCGCCTCTAAGCACGGGGTGTTTGGACGTTAATCTCACTCACATAAATTATGTTTTTACCAATAATGTGACAAAAAAGAAACGTTTAGTGTGATAAAAAACACACTTTGAAAATATAGTTAACCACTCCCATAAACAGTTTCATATTTTGATGATTTCAGAATAATTGGGATGATTTTAACAAACAATGTTTAGAACACGTAAATGGTGTTGCACCCAGGTGCCGTTGATCGTTGTTTGTGTATCGCTCTCTCGAGTATCGCGGACTTCGACATGCGGCAAAATATTTACTCTCAATATAAGAACTTTTATGTTTCATTCTTTGGGCATTAGACGTATCCATTTACCACTTAAAACATACATAAATGTGTGTTTCTCTGCATTGATTCAGGTTCTCTGCCAGTACTCGAGATTCAATATTTAGCTCTTTGCATTGATTTTACGTGTGCTTTAGATAATGAAGGGTCGGAGTATCTCTGAGCCACATACACTCTCAGGTCTTAGCTTGGTTTTCAGTATTGAGATTAACAATTGAAATGTAGAAATATTTCTTAGGATAAAAAAATCAATGATTTCTTTCCTCACACTGATAATGTTTCGTTCATACATGATGCCTACTATTATGTATACAGGTAAATTCACCTTGATGAAGATGTAGAGATCAGTGAGAAGCCTTATATTCGCAACCACTCATGCCAAAGAATATCATTAATCTCATCCTCTACAGCAAAATAGCAAGTGTTTAAGTTTCAAGATTTTCAAATATCGTAAACTTGTGGATTCTTTCATTTAAAATCCTTTCTTTCTTCTGCGTGTCTGATATTCAATTTACAACCATATATATAGAGTGTCTGTATTGAAGGATCGATTCTTGAAGGTGTCAGAGATGAACATGTCCTACAGGCGTCTACAGGTGTGCTTGGTATTGTAACAAACGGTACGGTATGCCTATGCCACAGGATCTGGATACCTTTGATAGAGCTGGTTCGATTTCTAGCTGGTTCGATTTCTAGCATTGGTCAACTACGTGTGTGCCCCTTCTGGCAACAACTTAAAGTGAGTGAAATAGTTAGTACGCCGGTTGGTTCAGCCGTTTTAGGTATATTCTAGCAGCATCAAAACACACACCTCTCGGGAACCAACGGTGTGGCCGATGCACGTGCAAAACGTGACAAGTAACAATTGGTATGGGTATAAAGTAGTTTAAATAGGAGGCATCTGAACTTGAAATATGCAGCGCTGTTTGAATACTTTTTCTCTGTACTACCTCAACAAGGATGTGAAGGGCACATCAAAATATTGTGTCTGTATCTGTAATATTTTGTACATTTAACAGAATTCAAATCTCTGTGAATTTCCTACCATCTCACTACTTCGGTTCAATGCATTCTTCTAACTAACCGCACGCCTTGTTACATTTAATTAATTACATTTATATCGCATATTGAATACATTACTGCTATATGATTTAAAAATTGATTGTCTCTCATTTGGAGAAATTAGATTATCGCTAAACCGCCCAAAATGTATAAGATCATAACGTATACTCACACAGATGGCCAGAATGATGACCTTCCCATAGCCGCTCAGACCCATGGCTACTGCTCAGTGGTGATGTCCAAGTGTAGAGTAGCAGGACAGGACTAGGTATTTATATGTCATCAAATGGAGACACCCTTGACCTCCACTCCCTGCTATTACAAGTTTATTTGTTCAGTGTCGAAATGCATAATTACCGACGGACATTTCCTACAATAAAGTACTATGTAAATACACGAGTGACAGCAAATTCAAAAGTACATATTAATTATATAGCATTATATTGCCATGTGATACAGGTGCCCTTTGCTGCATATTTAGGCTGTAATTAACATCTCATGTGTAACAAGTTTAAACGTTTTTGGGTGGTTGTGACTCTTTTCCTTTGTCGTTAATACCGTTTATATGTATATAAAAAATAAAGATAAAAACGTGTATTGTAATTAAATGGTACGAAGTAGATAACATTAAGATAATATTGTGATGCTTATTCTGTTGAAAAATATGAAAGTAATACCACATTTGACATCAGAATAAACTTATACTTTTCAATTGTCCGTGTCCCGACTTGATGTGTACACATGTGGCAGGATCCGGTGAGTACTTACGTCACATTCGTCCTTGATCTGCCTGCACAATAACTTGTCAGTGTCTATAACCAGTAAAAGTGACTGACTGAATCTCACTCACCCAATCACCCGGGGTCACGCTGCTCACCTATGATCGTGATGTCAATACTGGAGACATTGATTTTGTCCAGGTTTTGAAACACACCTGGAGCCTATTCTTTTCTGTGAAGCAAAAATGTTGTATTGACACAGGCTTGCAGAGAAAGTGCAAGTATTGATCTGTCACTCACTCATTCAATCTAATTAATGACTGAATGTGTCGTATTTTAATGCCACAGAAGTGAGAATAGCTTAGTTTTTTTAAATTAACCAATCTTTCACGTTCCATTTGTCAACGCCACAGGGCTTAATAGTTATGACAATATGTATTTTCCAATGAGGCACATGAGGTCCGAACTTGTGCTTAAATTATTGACAACATTGACAGGCTCTTACAGGCTCATAATTAGTTGATTATTTAAAACTTTACAAAGCGTAGGCGAACGACTTACAACGATGCTAGTCGGTAAAAGATACTACATCTGTACAGAATAATAATGTGTCCATTTATATAGCGCCAAACTCCACACTATGTATGCTCATAGCGCTAACAATCAAGGCACAGAACATTATTACCCCGGATAACCCAAGCTGCCTGTTAGGCGCTAGAAGGTTATAGTCATATGACTTTTTCCACCGGGTACCCATTTTCCTGCTGGGTGAACAGAGACAATTTTGAACAAACTCACTTGTCTAAGGTGACCACATGTGTCACATGTGCTTCGTTGTGGGGCAGGACTCAAGTCCTAGAAACTCTCAGGAGTCAAGCTGCCAAACACGGTCACCCATCCAAGGACTCTCCGAGCCCGACGCTGCTTAACTTCACCGATTTGTGATCTGAGCTGAGCACAGGACTACTCGCCAGCACAAATCCAGAGAATTCAGAATCACTGAACTGAAACAATAAAGAAGGAGCCATCAATTAGTCAGTGACTCCAGACAGTGTTGAGATGCAGACAGTCATTCCTGGGGACCAGTGTCATCTAAGAACGCTCTCTTTCATCACATGCTGCTGCTGACAATAATTTGCCAATGCATTCTGTGATGGGAAGACAAAGAGCGGTATCTGAACAAATCAGCTAATATCGTTTACATGAACTCGTTTGACTGGGAGATATTGTGAATATGCTGACTTACTTTTGCTTCTAGGTGTCTTAAATTTTAAGCAGACGTAGTAACAGATAACGAACCAAGCGTGCCACAGCTCTTTCTTGATGACCTTGTTGACATACTGGTAGTAGTTCTCTATTTTCTATATATTTATAGTGTATGTATGTTTACATGAACTCATGGGACTCGTGGGAGACATTGTCAATTAGACTAAAAATTAGTCTCTGAAATGAACATATTTGAAATGAACAAACTGTTGGAGGACGGGGGATGTGTGGACTGACACAACTTGTGTCCAACATCTGGGATGTCTCACAATTGTTGGAGGAGGGGGAAGGTGCAGTCTGACACAACTTGTGTCCAACATCTGGGATGTCTCACGACTGTTGGAGGAGGGGGAAGGTGCGGTCTGACACAACTTGTGTCCAACATCTGGGATGTCTCACAACTGTTGGAGGAGCGGGGATGTGTGGACTGACACAGGGTGTGTCTAACATCAGGGGTGTTTAACAACTGACAACTTTGGGTGTCGGACGACCCGGGAATCTGACAACTCGGGAATCTGACAACTGGGGCTTGACAAACAGAGTATTACCGGGAAATCAGGGTCAACATGAACTACGGAGTGATTACACGATAAGCCAGGGCCCACATTACCCTCATGCATATCGACTGGCACGATGTTATTTGGCGAATACTACACTCTAAAATGAATTAAAAATACAAATACATAACACACATGTTTAGACGTGTCTTCCATCACATGCTGCTGATGCTACATGTTTTATAAATCTGTAGAATCCTAAATGGAATACACATTTGGTTTGGTTTTTCTGAACACCAAAATGAATCTCACATCCAAATCTCAACATACCCATGATCTGAGTTCTGAGCAATGTAATCATGTTTTAAAGAGAAATACTTACAAAACAAACATATGAATTAAAAGTTTTTAATATGAATTATATATATATATATATATATATATATATATATGTGTGTGTGTGTGTGTGTGTGTGTGTGTGTGTGTGTGAATTCTGATGATCTAAGCATGTTTAGAATATACTGGACACAAATAAACCACTTAAATGTCAAAAAACGGAGATAAGTTAATGGTGTCGAGGAAAATTGACATCAGTGATGGTTGCGTTTTCCATCGCAGAGAACCCATATGGGGTATCGATCCCAGGTCCTCGGCGTGACGTGTCCGGGCTAGAACTGGTCTTCAGCAACCCATTATCATCGTAAGAGGTGACTAACGGGATCGGGTGGTCAGGCTGGCTGACTTGGTGGACACATGTCATGGTATCCCAGTTGCGTAGATCGAAGCTCGTGATGTTGATCACTGGATTGTCTGCTCCAGACTCGATTATTTACAGACCGCCGCTATATGTCAGGAATAAAAACAAACTAAACCAAACCTCTTGTCATACATTCCAGCGTGAATGGAACTGTTGCAGTTTGTATCCAGCAGAGGTATTAAAGGTGTTGTGCGCATGAGTGCGTTGTATGATTGCTTTTTACTCATACAAGAAGGGGAAGCTGGCAATGGTCATATATCTGATTACTGCGACAAACAATAATTTATAACAGCCGAGAACGTCTATTGTCCATCATGTGCCAGAAACAAACATATTAGTGTTTCCCTTACTCTAAACACCTTTAACTGTTAACAATCCTAAATATTAATTAGGCCATAAACGCATCCAAATTACATGATATAAACATACTTGTGAACTGATTATGTCAAGGAATATATGTGTGTTTTCATGTATCAACATACGGTTCTATTGATGTTATATGCGAGAACTGAAAAAAGTGAAAAAGTACAGTAAAATATTCTTGGCTATTATTAATATTGGCAGCGTCTCTGTGACAGGTCTGGTTCCGTGGGAGAGCTGAAGGACTCGACAGGGAACATCCGACATGGGTAGTCAACAAAATTGTTGAATTAATTGCGAACGAAATGTCATCCTTCATCAGCTGAAGTCGTGACACCTCCATCGTACACGCCCTGCGTGATGACCTACAGACCGCTGGAACAGTGTGCTCAGTCAACTCGCGGAATAACATCATTGGTGGGTCATTTGGACTGTATACACAAGAATTATCATAATTGTGTTGTCATTTCTGAGGCATTGTTTGATCGTCGATTCATATTTCCAACCATTAATGAATACCTCTATGAACTGTTTATGACGTAATTAGTTGCTTAGTCTTTGAGAATCGCTCCTAAGTGGAGCTTGTAACTATATGTCATATAATTACAGTACACATAATGAGTATATCGTTGTAGTCAAAGATAACGGTAATGTAGCATCTAATCGCAAAAAGTCATTTAGGAAACTTCTGTTCACTCTATGTTGCCAGTATAGTAGTTTGTTGGTCATTCAAAGTGTTCGTGTGAGCGTAATAACGAACTTCAAAAAAAATCTATCATATTTCAAAATTCAAACGTTCTGTATCAATAACACCTTTATTGTATCAAAACTCAATTGAAGTGTATGAAAAGAATAGTTGTTCTAACATCATCCAAAGGGAACCTTGTGGTCGGCACGTTGTCCAGTCCAAGTCTGGACGTTCCATCCAATGCCATGTGTCCCTCCGAGAGTCACTGTGTGATAAGATTGAGCGGGTGAGTGTGTGAGTTTAGTTTTACGCCGCTTTTAGCAATATCAAGACGGGGGACACCAGAAATGGGCCTCACACATTGTACACATGTGGGGAATCGAACATGGTTCTTCGGCGTGCCGAACGAACGCTTTGACCATAAGGCTACCCCACCGGCCCGTTTGATTAGAACAGTCATTAAGTATTCTATTGATTAAAACAGTGTATTCAAGATTTAAGAGATGGGTGTAAATGGCTCCAGTAGAATTTGTTGAGATACGGGTTCTGAGTCTTCTCCATGAGTAAATCATGCTGATTACATGAGGCAGACTAACACCGTAGTCCGTATCGTAGTTCGATATGTCCAACTGCAACGACAGGGGAACACAGTTTTTGTAAACCTGTATCCCTTCCGATCCCTTCATGAGATTTAGGTATGGCCATTTCAAATAATATTACTTCCCTTTTATTGACGCTGTCCTATATTCGCGTAGGATTATATACATTGCCGCTGTTTTACATTCGTGTAGGATTATATACATTGTCGTTGTTCTACATTCGTGTAGGATTATATACATTGTTGCTGTACTGCATTCGTGTAGGATAATATACATTGTTGCGGTTCTACATTCATGTAGGATTATATACATCGCTGCTGTTCTACATTTGTGAAGGATTATATACATTGTCGCTGTACTGCATTCATGTAG